GGTAATATTTTATTAAACAGCTTTTAAAAATTGAATCATGATAGATCAATGCTGACAGCATTTTTACATATCTTGTAAAATTATATGAAATTATATGAAAAACATTTTAATTAAAGCTAAGACGAATGCACTATTTAGCATAGATTTTGCAGGACTCTACACTCTATTAATGAGCATTTAACAGTTTTTTTATGCTTTGCTTTATTTTTCAAATCGATCATTTCTACACAAAATAATCAATGAAGTTCCTTTAAAAAAATTCCTGAATAAACTGTTATTAGACAGAAAAAAATAAACCTGAATAACTACACTTCTCTAAATAGAGTTCAATTTTTAACTCAGTTTGTGAATCAGCTTGATAGATGGTAAGCCACTTATCATTTTTAAATATTTCATTGAATGAGTAATTATGCAAATATTAATTCAATCTCACTTGTTCAGCTGTGTATTATTTCACGGACACTTCTTTTTCATTCTTTCAGTTTTGTTTTGTTTTATTTTGTGGGTTTTTTTGGCAAACAAATGCTTAGTGTTATTTATACATCATTATTTCAAACTACTTTAAATAGTATACCAAATGACTATCACTGGGATTAATGTCCCAAAGTCCAAATACAGATATTTTTCTTTTCCTGTGAGATGCTAGGATGCTAATTCTATAATATTAATAGCTCTGTTGATTTTGCAGGTCAGTATTTAGTTTTGTTAAGTTTAGTTTTGCTTTGTTAAATGGATACACATGAAACAGATTGGCTCCTGTCTAATCTCTCACTCTCTTTCAATCTAAGGAGTTGGAATATTGCTGCTGAATAATTTTTCTGGAAAAAGCCAAGTGTTGGTATGATGATATGCGAATCATTTCCATGAGGAGGGTTTCACTGTAGGTCAAGCAGCAATTCATAGATCTGGGTTTTTAAACTGTTTGAATATTATCGGGTTTCAATATACAAATAATTTTTATTTTTCACTCTGTTGTAGGAAAAGATCTCTATAAATGAAATGATCATATTTTAGTTTTCATGCCTACAAAGTGGCAATGTATGGCATGATTTTTTTTTTAACAATAAGAGAAACTAGGAAAAGAATCTCAGAGAAATTGTGCTGTGCTTGTAAAGGTAATAAAATTCAGTCAACTGTCTTTCTTAAGGAAAATGCTGTTAGTGTATACTATAATTTGAGCTGGTGGTAGCCTTTATTTAGAGCTTTCCATGATCTTTGTAGCGAACAAAAACTGAATTTATTATCTTGTTATGGAGTATATAATGTCACATAAAATGCCTTGGGCATAAAATATTTATAAAAGGAACTATGGGTTAAAATACTCCAATATACTTTTTAAATTTAGTTAAAATGTGGGTGCCTGGCTCTTTTTCCGACTTGTACTATTCAACAGAGAATACTTGATTTTCATAGTTGTTACTGCTTTGTCTGTGATGAAAGCTTTACTGCTTCTGTGCTGTGCTCAAGAGAAAACCAGCAAAAGAAGCGATGGCTTGTTCCTTCACAGAACTGCAGCAAAGCTCTCTGGTAAGCAATGGTGATATGAAGATGACGCACTGACTTACTGAAAATAATCATGAGAACATTTGAACGTTATTTGCCTTATAAGTTAGAAAAGGTGTGGAAATCACTGTTTTGTAAATAATGATTTTTACAAATGTTTTTGTTTCCTTTATAATTTTCCCAATCACCCATTTCAGAAAATCCTGAATATGCAATTATTTATCATGGCACATTACTGCAACTAGTGTTCCCATTTCAAAACAAACTTTAATCACACGTGAGAACAAGATGAAATATCTGAGTAAGTGGTTATTTAAATGTGATTTTTTTTCTGGAAAATAAATGGAAAACATAAAAATAAACTCAGTTGTGAATCTCTTTTTTTTACCAGCCTCTTAAAATTTTACCCTCATTTCTGGAAAACTGCATGTTTAGAATGGGCAAGGTGGGGGAAAGGTTTGGCACAGTTCAAGGGCTTTGGAGTGGGACAAACCCAGCTCTATAATTTAACTACAGACTTGAGCATATTACTCAATGATTCTTCATTTCCTTAACTTTAAAAAAGGAGTTAATAATGTCCCCTTACCAGAGAGACATTGAACAGATTAAATGAGATAATATTTATCAGTCACCTAACCATTCTTACCTAATACATAGTAGATATTCAATAAACCATCCTTTCCTAGTCTTATTTTTTCTGTGAATAAGGATTGAGATGGTCCAGGAAACGTTAATGCTCTTTCTCCAACAGTAGCATAACCCTTATGGGCTCTACTGTTACCCCAAATGTATTGCTCTTGTCACTAATGCTAATTACATCCAGGGACAGGTGCCACACTATGTACTTAGAAGCATTATCCTATTTCTACTTCCAATGATTGCCCACTACATGAGGGCCCCTTCAGGGTTTGGTTTTGTTTGCTTTTGGTGGGCGGAGGGGCTAGGGATAGGACAGGGGTAGATAGTTACCAGTTATGTTAGTTAAGGAGGAAAGGGCCTGATAGTTAGGTCAGGTAGGTCCTCAACCCCAAACAGCCTCCATTTCAAAGCTTCTTAAACTTTAAAGGGGCTGGAAAGAGTGGCCTGAAGTAGCGGGTTTGTTAGGCGCAGGAGATGAGCCCATGTGTTCCAGGGGCCCTGGGCATACTGTTCAATATCTTAGAATCTCAATTTTCTAAACCTGTGAAGGGAGAACAACCTTTCCTTGGCAGAGTTGTTGAGAAGACTAAGGCTAAAACTGTCAGTATCTGGTAAATTTAAGCTCTTGATAAATTACTCCTATTATCAACCATCTATGCCTTGGAAGGGGGTGGTGTTAAGCAGTGACAGAGGTCGGGAAGGGAAGGGGTTGCTTTACTTTCTCTTTGTGCTTCGGATTTCCTGTCCTGGGAAAGAAAGCCCGGCATTTCCCACTCCTGCCCCTGACATCTGCAGGCAAAGAACTAGATAAGGACTCTTGGTGGCTGCATCTTGAGTTTCAGATACCCTCCTCACTACATACAGGATAATCGGATTCCCCTCCCGCTTGCGGTCACTCCTGGGCGCAGCAGGGCTCAGGGTGGCTCCCTCTGGACAGTGACGATGAGATCCTTTACATCCTTAGGGCGTCTCAGAGGACCAGGGGCGGGCCTAGGGCTCTGTTTGAGGAGGTCACCCTGGAGACAGGCCGCGGAGTCCAGGGGGAGTGCAAGGGAGGCCGCGGGAAGAGAGAAGACTGGGAGGCAGGAGCCTCCCCCTGCGCAGGTCCCCGTAGTGCACAAGCCCGAGTCTGGGAGGCCCCCCTGCGAGCCGCCCGCAGCTCCAGCCCCGCTATAGGTAAGTGAGACTTCTGTGCAGCGTGCCTGGGTGGGAGAGAAGAAAGACGACTGCAAGCTCGAGCACTGCAGGGACTGAGGAGGGAGGGCCTTGTGGTGAGAAATGGCCTGCCTGCGTTGGCCACGGCCTCTCGATGCCTTACTCCTCCTTCCCCCAATAAGAAAAAGTGGCCCCAAATTTGGGAACTGGAAGTGGCTCTTGGTCCTTTGGACACCCTCCCTCCTGAGCTGGCCAGAAGCAGAGTGAGTCCTAATCAGTCTTCCTGAGGCCCGCCTGGCAAACTCCATGCAGCTGCAACCCCTCCCCACCTCTGGGTTCCAACTCTGGCCTTTGGGCAGCTTTCGAAACACGTGAGTGGACCGAGGTCCCTCTGTGCCACCTTGGATCGGAACCTGAATGACCCGTTGAATCAGTCTCAGTGTGTCCTGCCCACACACTTGGACACATTCACACACTCACACTCATATACACAGATACACACACAGACACACAGAGAGATGTTCACACACTTATTCATACAGACACCTCGCTCACATACCTAGATGCTAATACTCATACACACAAGCACACACACACACACACACACACATACACACACACAGATGCTCACACACAGGCATAAGCCCACAGAGAGACATACTCAGAGGCACACAGATGCTCACACTCATGTACACACACTCCCACACAGGTACACAATCACACACACATGCACACAAACACCACACTGCCTCCTTTCCCAACACACAATACCTCTGTCATATTGTGTCCCTTCCGTACCCTTTGCCTTCCTCTGCCCTGACACTGATCACACTGGAGTTTGACAGCTGGGTTCTTGTTTGCACTACCCATGCAACTGCCAACTCCATGAAGGCAGGGACTCTTAGTTCTATGTTAGTGTCTAGTAAATATAGTGTCTCCTTGTGAGAGCTCTCAGGTTTACAGATCATAAAATATTGGGTTGTTGGAAAAGTCATGAAGTATTTTTTTCTGTTTTCGTTGCAAAAATGCGTCATGACTTTTCCAACAACCCAATAATTTAAATGAATATCAAAATTTGTATGTAGGCAATAGGTCAGTAGAGTTTTGGTCTAAATTCTGGGAAGTCCATTCCTACTACCAGCGTTTTAACAAGCATTTGTGGGAAGGAGGTAGGTTTTCCAATAAATTACTTAGTTGAAAGTTAAGTTCTGTTTGCTCTTTACAAAGTAAATCATGGTTTCTTAAAAAAACCAAAACCCTTTAAGGAAGACAATTAATAATTAATTTTACTTTTTAAAGTAACAGCAACAACAACAAATAAAGTTTTACCAAGAATGAGTGGGGAGGGGGCAATAAAAATATTGTTTTCTGGTGTTGGATAATATCTTTCTTCTACACATGGCTAGCTTTGTGACTTTAACCTTTTCTGCAGTTAAGCATTTTTGTTGCAGTTTACTATCAGCTTACTTTACTATCAGTAAGTATACTATTGCATAAATAAAAGTTATCTGAGTTATTGTATTTCCAGTTATACTGACCAGTATAACATATACTAAAAATCTTAAGGAAACCCCACTTTCCCATTTAAAATTGGTAGTAAAAACATCTGTACTTTATTTAGAACGAATTTCCGTGTTATACTAACTTAAATGTTTTTAAATCTTTCATCTGCTATTTTACAAATGTTTTCTTCCAGAGGTAGTGATGATGTCAAACATTGCTAAAGATAGAACGGCCCATTCATTGAAGAAAAGGGGGAGTGTGTCTCCTCTAAGTGGTCATGAATTCCGACAGAGGGAACTTCATGGACACATCAAAGAGTGAGTAACTGAATGTCTAATAACTTAAATTCATTTATTGAATAAACAGGTTCATCATGCTTATCAGGAGAAAAAAAAATTTCCTTTGGGACATAAAGAGAGAGAAAATACACAAGTACAAGGTTCAAGTCATCTTTTGGGCCCATATTTTTAAAAACAAAGAGAAAGAAAGAAAACGTAAGTGATATGTTGATTCCAGCAGCATTTTTTACTATTTCAGAGACCACCCCCAAAACTCATCTACTCAAAAAAAACACCATATGCAATGTACACCAGCTGCTACTTACGTCTCCTGAATTTTTCTCCTCAATATTATATAAATACCTAGTTTTTGCATTTTTGCAATCAATATATACATATACAACACATTTAGCATTATGTTATACAAATTTTATAATGTATTTTAATAACTATTGCTCATGTCCTTTTAAATAGCTGAGTAATATTTTGTCAGTTTATATGGGTTAGCTAACCATTTCCCAATTATTGGGCATTTTAAGTTTGTTTCTAGGTTTTTTTTTCTTTTTCACTATATAACATCTCTGCTTGTTTTCTTCCCAGAAGTATAATTTGTGGGTCAAAGGGTAATAAGTACTTTTGTTTTGGGCTGGGAGTGGGGAGCCTCTTGCTGCATATTGCCTTTGCTCTCTTAAAGAGATGAATCAGTTTTTAATATTTTCATCACATTTCTTTTTGACTGCCATTGGGAAGAAAACAAAACAAATTATTCAATGCAGAGGACAATTAACTTATACAATAGACTTTTCCTCTTAATAGTTTCCACAGGATTGAAGGATGTGGTATATTAATCCCCATGGTTGTGAAGCAGGAACTGAGGTGTCCTATGGAACAGAGATCAAAAGAACTGGAATAGACTTACATTAGAATTCTGAAACCAAATCTCCCTACTCTCAGAGTGTATTAATGCACTTATTTAAAATCCTCTTTATACCCCTGGATATTTGTGGATTACAAGTACAATCTCTCTATTTTACAGATAGTAAATTTAAAGGGTAACAATCCTAGCATATCAGAAGTAAAGCAGGGTGAATAATTAATCTCTGTAACTTTTGCTTTTGACCTGAAGCCATTTTGGCTGCTATTTCCAATATTGAAGTGTAAGAGTTCCCTTGAAAATTATTTTAAAATAGTTGTTAATTTAAATTCAACTCTCTTCAAGAAAAAAATGTATAATAATAATCTGACGTAAACCATGTTCCCCTGATTCAAAAAGAAAACCTTCTCTCACCCAAAAACTAAATTATCATCTTTATTTACATAATTTTCATTTAGCTTTTCCCTTTCACAGCAAATTAGAAAGTCATATAGAATCAGGACATGGCCAAATTTGAAGAATTAAAGAGCACTCTTTTTTTACTGATGAAGTATAAATACAAACTAAAAGTAACAGGAATACAAAAATAGTTTTATCAACACATTAGCATAGATTTTTCACTAACAAACACATTTAAGTAATAATTATTTTGATATATTTGAAAGTAGAAATTTCGACTCTCAAACAAAGCATTCAGAATGGATCCTCTATTTGTGCTTTTTTTTTTCTTAAGTAGCAAATGAACAGCTTCCTCATACCCTTGCAATTCAGAGGCCATTTAGGAGGCTGCCTCCCCAGCCCTAGCTTCTGATTACTCTTCACTGTCTTAGACCAGACTGCACGAATGATTCTCCTTCATGAAATCAGCCTGCAGCTAGTAGAAAAATTCTGCAAGCTTAGAGGCTATCAAATGCAGATATCGCTTTGAAATTGCAATGTTTAGTGGAAAATCATATACCTTTCATTTGAAAGTTATGGCAAAATAAATTTTAAATAGATCAACTTCAGCGGCATAAAATATATCCTGAAGTATACTGAGGACCTACTACACTATCTCTCTTAATCTCCCCAGCATGAATCCTACTAGGTGGACATCATTCTTACCATTTTACTATGAAATAACAGGCTTACAAGTCAAGTGTTGATTTAATGACTAGGATACAATCTTAAGTCATGAGTATGGCATATAGAGTCTACAAACGTTTGTCTACATCTCAAGCACCATCTTCTCCACTCTCCTGCTAGCATCTACTCTCTGGCAACACTCAACTCCCATATTCACAATCCCACCGTATTCTGTCTTGCCTCCAGCTGTTGCCTTATGCTGCTTTCCCACGGTGCCCCCTTATCTGGAATACTCTTCTGACACTCTGGCTCCCTTCTCCTCTTCCTTCAGAATATAGCTCCATCTCCATCTCTCCAAAAAGCTCTCTCTAACAACCCAACTACAACCACTTCCACCTCCGGACTGGGTAGGACGCCCTTCCTTTCTGCTTCTGCTGCTGTCCCCTTCTACATAGTATTGTATTGGACTGTTCTTTGTATCATTCTCTAATGGGAGGGTGGACTCATTTGCCTTTGTAGCAGTAAACACACAGATAAGGAGGGCAAAAAAGAGTAGAATGTAGACCTAGTTGGAAAGCAGCTTCTTGGACATGGTATAAGGTCAGCACAGATTCAACCCTACAATCGCTGGTTCTGTGTCCACAGTCGTCTCCAGTAGTAACTATGCTTAACATTGATCCCTGAGCAGAGTGGATATCCAAAGTACCTTCCGAATTGTGAAAGGAAGATTGAATTTATACAATATAATTACTATTAACTGTTTTTAGGGTTGGGTGTTTTTATTTAATTTATGTTTTCATTATAATATGATTTTTATGTTTTATATTTTTAAGAAGAAACATTTTAAGCTGGATCTTACTATCTCAATATCATAACTGTTAGCAAGTTGGCGTATTTCTTTCTATACATACCTACATGGTTGTCATCATAGTTCATCTATAGTTTTGAATTCTGTTTGTATTTCACATAACTAATTAATAGCAGTAAGAGCAATAATAGCTAACATTTACTGAGCCCTCACTATGACCTCATTTCAGTCTTACAGAAGCTCTATAACAGGGTGGAAAACTATGGTCCAAGGGCCAACTTCAACTTTCCAACTGTTTTTGCATGGTTCCCTAGCTAAGTATGGTTATTACATGGTTGAAAAAAAATCAAAAGGAGAATAACTTTTGTCACGTAAAAATTATAAGAAACTCAAATGTTAGTATCCAAAAATAAATTTTTATTGGAACACATCTATGCCTATTTATGCATGTATTGCCTCTATCTGCTTTCACACTACAACTATAGAGTTGAGTAGTTGCGATAGAAACCATAAATCCCACAAAGTTTAAAAAAAATTGCTATATGAAATTTTACAGAAATGTTTGCCAAACCCTGCTCTATAAGATAGATGCTATTATCATCTTCATTTTACAAATGAAGAAACAGATGCTTAGAGAGGCTGAGCCTTCAAAGCCACAGAATTAGGAAGTGACAAAATGGGCTTTTGTTTATAGTCAAGTATTCTCATTCTCTGAAAATTGGCTATGGGTGTGTAACATGCATTAACGAAACTCTTCTATTTATTCACCAGAACTTTCTGGTTCCCATCCATGGGGAAGAGCAGGTATTTACAATGACATCTTTCTTGTTGGAAGCTCAGCCTTCGGCAGCCTTCAAACAGTATTTGAACAGATGTGCTACTCTCATGTTCTTAAAATGGAAATAGGAGCCTGGGGTTAAGTTACTTTCCAAAGATAATGTGACATGATATCCAGGCTTATTATCTCTGAGTCTAGTAGTTCAACTAGTAGGCTAGCCCCAAGGTTGGTGACTAAAGAGTTTCTCTTTTGCCTCAAACCAAAATTACACTGATGTCATGTTACAAGAGCTTTGAGTATGATTCCCACAGCACTCTATTTGAACCCACTGGTGGCATCTAATACACTGTATTCTTTCACTTATTCATTTATTCAAGGTTTCTTGAGCTTCTATTCTGTGCAAATTATTGTGCCACATATTAGACAGATAAAGGTAACTAACCGTTCAGTTCTATTCTAGAGAAGCTCATTTTACAAGTAAACTAAAAGCCACCTGGTAATTTTGTTGCTGCAAAAATTAGAAAAGATTGTATTCATTACCTCATTTGAAATAAATATTAATTGGCCACTCAGTACATTCCAGACACTGTGCTAGGTGATAAAACCACACTTGAATACTCCCTGCCCTCATGCTTTATAATCTGGTAGGAAAGGCAGCACACAGGTAATTTTAAATGTGATGAATTTATTCCATGATTCCTACACTACTGTGAACTGTTTATGTGCAGTGAAAAATGGTGTTGCCTGGCCTGTTTCCTCATTTTGATAAGTTCTATTGCCATCTAAACCAAACTAAAGCCTCCAACAGGATCCAGATGAGATACAGCTTCCCCACCAAAGAGAGAGAAGCCTAAGAAAGCTGAAATGGCCATGATCCGAAATGAAACCACAATAATAACTAATATGATGTTGTACTGATTTAACTGTTTCACATACAATATCTATCTGATTCTTATAAAAACCCTGTGGGTTAAATGTAGAAGATACTTTCATTATCTCCATTTTTCTCACTTATTATCTTATCTCAGGAGCATATTTAAGTGGAAAATATTCCTCATGTCATAGCACACTATCATCGTCAACATGGGCAAGGGCCCTCATGTTTACCTAATTGTCCCTCTTCTTCCTCATTCTCACCCATTCTCACTACCATTCTCATCTCCCAGTGGGCACCCACTCTAATACACATACTATAAGAATATACACATCTAGGGCCAGCTGAGTGGTGCGTTGGTTAAGAGCTGGCTTGGGATGCCAGAGGGCCCCGGTTCGGATCCCACATATGAGGGCCAGTGACACTGCCCTCCACAGCTAAGATGCTGAACAACAGCTCAACCTGGAGCTGGGCTGCTGTGAGTCGCCAGCGACAGCGTAGGCTGCAGCGCCTGCTGCAGTGGGTTGCCATGGGCTACCGTGTGTAGCCAGCAGCCACCATGAACAGCCGTCCAGAAGCCGGCAACTGATCTGCCTCACCCGGGAAGAGGGTAATGATGGTGCCAACTTGGGCCAGTGAA